CTGGATTTTTTAAAATTCTGAATTTTTTAAAATTTTGAATTCTGAGGGTTTTTTTAAAAAACCCTCAGAATTTAAAAAAACGAGAAATTTTTAAAAATAGCTCACAACATAATAGAAAGAACACATGTGCAAAAGTAGTTTGAAATGTTGAAGTGATATTTAAATTACACAGGTGATATTTGAAAGTTCAGAAGAATGGCTTTTTTTTCTTTTTGTTAGCTGAAGAAGAATTCTGTTGTGTTCAACCTGCATGTCTTGCTTGGCCTGGTAGATTTAATGCTAGAGTCAATAAAATGGAAATCCAGGCCAGAAGTGAGGAATGAGGTCACACTCCAGATACCTCATACATAACTATTTTTTTTAATTGAAAACATTTCTAGGCTGCTTTTCAAGGAAAATATTTCCAGGGCATCTTGCAAAATAGCAATGTGGATTGGATGTCAAAAAGGGAATGTTTGTGCTTAAAATAAACAGGTTTTTAACCCACTACATTACCAGCCTGGATCACTTAAATATCCTGTGCAAAACTCAGACCATTAAAGTAGTAGTCCCTTGCAAGGTGAAATAAGGGTCTAGATTTAATGGGGAAAAAATGTTCCCAAGCATTGCACCTTCAAAATGTTGAAAGTTGTTGTTTTGTCAAATTCATTCAGGGGAGGGGGTATCGGTAATTTTTGAATGTCCATTAAATAGGAGAGTATGTTGTCACAACGATTTGTGTTATTTCTGTAATCCAAATGGCCTTAATCAGGATAGAAAATGGCCCATTCCATGCAAAATCCTTTGCACTGAGGTTTCAGTAGAGTATCATTCGTAGTCTTTGCAGTTATTTAAGGACTGGCTTGAGAAGCATTTGCTTGGCTTAACAATGTAATGGAAAACATCCAGGTCACAGCCACACTTCCAGGCCAGCCCTCTGCCAGTTCCTTTTTCCAGCAATGTTGCAGCCGAGACCCATTTTTTTCTAGCTTGCATTTATAAACAAAAAGGGGGGAAACAAAGAAAACATTTCAACCATCCTCTTCCCACTTATTCCAACCCTTTGGGATCCTTAAAGCCAGATTAAGCTTGTGACTGTTGGGTGTATGAGTTGGGGGCACCGTACTGACAGCCTGCTTAAAGTTTCACCCCCAGAGGATGAAGAGACCAAGGACTGTGCTGAGAAGCTGGCTCGGTTTGTGGCAGACGGGGGCCCAGTGGTGGAAATGGTTGCCCTGAAAAACCATCGAGAGAATCACTCTTTCAGGTAAAGGGGGCTGGTGAGAATGGAAGCAGAGGCAGAGATGCTGGCCCTTCAGATCCCCGAACGATTTTTAAATGCTAAAATCTCACAAGAGATCTTGATGATCTCTCTCAAGACTTGAGCTTTCTTCACTGGTTTTAGGGTGTTTGGGGCCAGAAAAGGGGCCAGTCCCTGCTCCCCAGATCTGGAGATTTGACCAATCAAATCTTGGTTTGATTCAGATTGAACATCCTAGCACATCCTCCTCTGCTTTTATGTGTATTTAGACGGGTAAATGGTTTAATCTTGGATTTCAAGCCTGAGCCTGATTTTGTATCCCGGTTTGTCATGTTAGTTTAAATTACAAGAGTTCTGATCTCAGGAAACTATGATTTGATTAGTGCTAGATGGAGAATATGTGAATGAGGCTACTGTGAAAACACGTCAAGCCATAAACCTGTTTTCTATAGAAAATGCATACTTACATTGCAGTTGTGCTTAACTTTTAAGAAGTTTCAGATTTGTATTTGGAAAGAGTGTAGGGGTAAGTGTGTGTGTGAATTGGTTATTCCTTTTATGTAAATAGAAATACACACATGGGCCCACAAAAGCTGGCAGCCATTTTCAGCAAGGGAGGGAGATACACATCCCCTCCTGCAAATAACTGATAAGCTATTGGATTTATTGTCTCTGTGTAAATGACGAATTGCTGGATTTTGGATTTTCCCACCCTTTGGAACATCTTGCCCCCAGAGGTGAGACAGGCCCCCTCACTCCCGGCCTTTTGGAGGGATTTGAAGACCTGGCTCTGCCATCTGGCCTGGGGAGGGAGGTTGTCAGAAATGGGGTTGGCTAGTGCCCTAGAGGCCTGGTGTTGCTTCCATTGGCCTCTTGGATTTTTTTCTCTTCCTTCCATTTCTGTAAATGTGTTTTTCTTTTTATAAATTTTAATTATGTATTTATGGGCAGGGATAAGTCTACTAAATAAATAAATAAATAGTCTCTGTTTTTATGTACGCTTGCAGATTTTTATATGAGCCCAATAGTTCTGGATACAAGTATTACCGGCAGAAGCTGGAGGAGTTCCGGAAAGCAAGCAGTAATACAGAGGGCATGCCTCCAATACCAGAAGCCAACCTGAAGCGCAAGGCCCCTTCTGAGGGGGGCCCTTCCTCTTCCTCCTCCTCCTCCTCCTCCTCCTCCTCCTCCTCTTCCTCCTCCTCCTCCTTCTCTTCAACAGCAGCACCCACGGTTTCTCTGCCAAAGCAGGCAGCCACATCCACTTCGTCCACTGCAAAGAAAAAGCGGAAAAGCCGGTGGGGCCCAGAGGAGGAGAAGGTGGACTTACCTCCTCCAGAGCTCGCTCAGCAGACACAGGAACTATCGCCAACACCGTTGTCTGGTTAGCTCTTGTCGTGTTTTAAGGCCGATGCAGGCATGGGATTTGTGATGGGCTATTGTTCAATAGTGAGTTTTCTCATCCACCCAACCAGTTTTATTTCGAGCAGAGGGTAGTGCTAGAGAAGCAGCTGCATCTCATCGACACCTGTAATGGGATCTTCGCATCTGCACCAATGACTGTTTTTTTAAGCCCCACCATGGCCTTGCCTTTGGCTCTTAAGAGCCTTAGCCCCAGGGCTATTGAGATTAATTCTCTTTATGGAGAGATGCTGTCAGAAACTAATTCTTGCATCCCCTTGTGCTTCTGCAGCCTACTGGGTGGGTGACCTACTGGGGAGTTGGAGGGGGAGCATTTGTAAAGAGATCCAAAATGTACATTTTCCCCCCAGGTGGGTGCAGTCCTTTGCTAATTTGAGAGTTATTATGGGCTCTCGGTGAAAACTGGCTATTCTGCATTCCAGAAAGGCAGCACTTTGCTGCCTGCATAAATTTTGTACAGCTGTGCACAGAATCATAGTTAAGCAAGGGAGAAAAGGTGAAGCAGGATACTGAAGCCTTTCTCTGCCCATGTTGCTATTTCTTGTCTTCTGAGATTCTGGCAGAGCTTGGCCACATGTTTTGTCATGACGTGTTTTTAAAGCCTGGAGTTGTCATGAACTTTTTATTTATTAAACCTGGCTATTGCAAGAAAGAAAACTAGTGATTGACACTCCCCCCAGCTTCTTAAAGAGCTTCCACTGAATTGTAATTTTGAATGTGACAGAAGAGAATAATACTTTTTCTCTTCTGTCACATTCAAAATTCAGTGGCTGCTCTTCAATAAATATCAAAGGAAGGTGATTTTAATGTGTCTATTATCAAATGTGAGAGTCAGTTTGTAGTGGTTAAAGGTAGTGAACTCCCCAGAGTTGTTGGTAGTCAGGCGGTATACAAATTTAATATAATAATAATAACAACAACAACACTGGGCTAGAAAGCAGGAGACCAGGACTTCTAGTCCTGCCTTAGGCACAAAGTCAGCTGGATGACTTTGGGCCAGTCACTTCCTTTCAGCGCTAGGAAGAAGGTGGCGAGGGCAAGCCACTTCTGAAAAATGTGGCCAACAAAACTTCAGGGATTTGCCCTGGCAGTCACGAGGAGTCAAGACTGACTCCCACACAAATGATCAAGTGTGTATTAAATTAATCTTAGTTTTAGTCCTGCTTCTGCTCACTTTTTGGAATGCAGCCCCTGGCAAGGCACTCAGAGAGTAAACGTGGTCCTTGGCTGGAAAAAAATTGCACATTGTTATACATGCAAACATTTGTAGCCTTGAAAAGCACAACCATATATTTGTCTTCTCAGAAATATGTCCTTCCTGAATTCATTGGGCAGGCATCTACTGGGGCCTGTGCCATCAGTGGGATTTACTTTTGAGTTGACGTGTGTTTTGTTCTCCCAAAAAGCTATGCAAATTGCTCCTTTAGGAAAACCAGAGAACTTACTTGATTCTCATGAGCACACATTGTCATGGTAGCCAGGCACCACGTTCAAGAACAACCAAAGAAGGAGTAGAACCATTTTTCTAGAACTTTGGGGCTAAAATGCTGCTTGATGAGCCTGGATTAGAGATGTGAGCCTACCCTAGAGGATGGGGGGTGGTTTTAAGCACCAACGGGGGCGAGAGGTGCAGTGGAGGAGCAAGTTAACTCTTCTAATCCTTGTCTTGCCTCCAGTCCAGGACCTCAAGGGACTTGGCTATGAGAAGGGGAAGCCAGTTGGATTGGTGGGTGTGACGGAGCTGTCAGATGCGCAGAAGAAGCAGCTGAAGGAGCAGCAAGAGGTGAATTGAGGCCATGTTGTTCTGGTGCCACTGCATTCTTTAGCTTTTGTGTCTCTGCTGCTGCCATCCTGTTTTCCTTATGTGTAGTGAGTATAGAGGATGGCCTTGAAAGACAGAAGGAGGATCCATTACCAAGGCAATAATCAGATAAACTAGCTTGAACCCAGACCAAGAAAGTGGTTTATTGAAGTGCCTCAGACAGCTTCCTCCCCCCCACCCCCATTCCATGAAGGTAAAAGAGGGAGGAAGGGAAACACATTCAGAATTGCAAGATTGATGTCAGCCCTGTAAGGTAGACCAGACTAAGAAACATTTAAAGCTACGTTAGACCTAAAGCTACTTTATTAGAACAGCTATAGTAACAGAATCCTGCAAGCCAAAAGGACACCAAAGTTCTCTGTCACGGCCATGTTAGCCAAATACTGCTCTGTTGTATCCTGGGGTCTTGTAGACTGGGTTTACACATGTTTTGGCTTAGCATATTATGCAGACCTAGTGCTTTTGGTGTGTACCACCACATTTGTGGCTTACTGTATTGTACAAATGCAAATAATTGTAATTTATTCAGCAAACTGGCATATTATATGAACAAAACTGTAGCCTGTATTTCAGAAGATTTAGGCAGCTGCTATCTGGCTTCTTCCTGGTTCTGCAAAGCAGACAATTGTGGAATAGGGACTAATTGGGACATCTTCCTTCTGGGTAAGAAGGGTTTGAATGTTGCAAAAATAAAGGCATGTTCTTCTTAATGCTTTCTTCAAACATGGTTTGCCACAAGTAGTCACAGTATCTCATATAAGCCACAGGTAGTCTGTTGCATGTTGAGGAGGAGATAAGGAACAGGAAGTCCTTTCTGAAGTATCAGAATCCCCATTCCTACAGAGAGGTTGCCAGTTCAGGCCTTGTACCTTCCACATCATCTTGGAGGGAGGCAGATAATTTTGCTGCCCTCTGGAGTTCAAACCCTCGGTATAAGTTGCTTCTGTTCTCAGTTTGCTTCCTGATAGGAATGACAGGGAAGCGGGGGAATGGATGTTCTCCCAGGCAAAACATGCCCTTCAAGCCTTTCAGGTGTTCTGTTGAAATAGTGCTTCCCTGTCTTCATTTGAACAGCAAGTTTCCATCTTAGCCTGTTCCTAGGGAAGCTAGTGGGAGCCGTAGAGGACTACGGTGATTTCATTGTCAAATACAGCCTGATGGGATTTGCCACCATGTTTTTTAAGCAAGAATATTAACTCCTCGCCGACAGATGCAGCAAATGTATGACATGATCATGAAGCACAAGCAGGCCATGCAGGAGATGCAGATCATGTGGGAGAAGACGATCAAAGAGCACCAGTCCGGCTACGACAGCGATGAGGAAATTGACAGCGAGCTGGGCACGTGGGAGCACCAGCTGAGGCGCATGGAGATGGACAAGACGCGTGGTTAGTGCTTAGAGGGGAGACAGGGAAGACTTTAGCGTCCACCACAATCCAAGCAATATATAGGTTCAATAAATAAATAAAATTGAAATATACAGTGAAAAAATAATCCCAGTAAAGGCAGTGGAAATCCACATACCTGCTGTTGACAAGAACTTGACATGGCTATGCACTGTAATTCCCAGAATCTATATCTTTTAAACATTTTAATGGGTTTTAAAAACGATGATGTGAATTCCTGCATTAAAAGACATTAAAACAGGCCCTTAAAGCAGGTTGGAGGAGGACCAGTTCTTCCTGCTCCATGTCGTTTGTATCAGCTGTTCCCTACTTGTCACCTTCCAGTAATACTGGGACTGCACCTCAGAGGATTCCATAGCTGATATGGTGTTCTTGGATTTGGAGTCTCAACGCATCTGGAAGATTACCATGTATACTCACAAATAAGCCCAGAATTTTAGGTGCCAAAATGTGCCTCCCAAATTGGGTTCAGCTTATGTGCAGATGGGCTTATCTGCGAGTATATATGGTTACTAATACCCATATATCCTATATATACACACAGATAAGCCCATCCATACATAAGCTGGCCCTCAAACTTTTAACAAAAATACCGTGAAAAACAGATAATCTGTGGACTATCCATGGATAAGCCAATTGTGAAAATTAAAACTGTAACAATATGTGGGAATGTCCTTGGGAGACAGAGCAATGAGATGCAGTCAAGGAAATGGTCAAGTCTTGAGGCTTGCAAGGTTGATGTCAGCCTTGCAGATAGGAAACACAACCAGATGAGCTAATTCTACTTTATTGTAAGGTTACATTAACAGAATCTTGCAAGTTTAAAAGTACTTTCTCCCACCTGTCTCCTTTACAGCCCAAGAAACTAGGGAGGGTCTTTTCTGAGCTTCTTGCCCCATCCACGTTCCTGCTGCAGGCTAAGCTGCCTTTTATCTGACCATTCCCTTGGCTGTGTCTCTTTGCCCTGTCTCCCAAGGTCTTCCCCCCATACCATTACAAAAACATGAACATTTTGAGGGTTGGCTTATCCATGGGTAGTGCATTTTTCATGGTATTTTGGTTAAAAATTCAAAGGTTGGCTTATCTGTGGATGGGCTTATCCCACAAGTATATATGGTACAAAATAAAGAACATGATGCTGCCTGACTAGAAGGCAGCTGCTCTGGGCTCTCAGGCAGGGTCCCTGTCCATCCAAGGATTACAGCTGAACAAGGATCCATGTCACCAAGCTTCCCTAAAGCAAGTTCTTCTGAACTGGGGGGTTTGTGGCCCTCTTGATGTTAGCCTCCAGTTGCCAACAGCCTCTGACTAGCATGCCAAGGATGATAGAAGTTATAATTTAATGATACCTGGAAGAGTTACAGGATTCCTGCACTAGACAGGATATTGGACTAGATGATTTCCATGATCTCTTCCAACCCTTACATTCTATGGATTTTCCCACCTCTTAAATCTGTTACTCCTGACATGGCCATAACTGGGTGTCTCATTCTGGTGACTTCTAGAATCCAGTTCTCCTTTCATATTTCTGCCAGAGTATTTCTCCAATAAAGAACCTTGGATGTGGTTCTTCTCTGTAAGGGCAGGTCTGCAGGCTAAATCTGTAGATCAGTGTTTCTCAACCTTGGCAGCTTGACGATATGTGGACTTCAACTCCTGGAATTCCCCGGCCAGCATGCTGGCTGGGGAATCCTGGGAGTTGAAGTCCACACATCATCAAATTGCCAGGGTTGAGAAACACTGCTGTAGAGCATCAACTTCCTGCCCATCCTTAATTATAAGCCAGGTGTCTGGGGTTATGGATGTTATAAACTCAGATTCTCTGGCCCCAGCAAATACATGGACTTTGTGTGTATTGACTCTGTATGTTCTTCAAACCATATCTTTCTGAGAAGTAGTTCTGTTCTGCCTGTTATTTTTCAGAATGGGCAGAGCAGCTGACTCAGATGGGCCGGGGAAAACACTTCATTGGAGACTTTCTGCCACCTGATGAGCTTGAGAAGTTCATGGAAACCTTCAAAGCTCTGAAGGTAAAATGCTTTGTGCTCCTCTCTTTAATGCTGCTTATACATATGCACACTGATTGAATGTTTCTCAAGGGAATTGGAGAAGGAGGAGGATCAGTTTGTCCTGTTTGCAAAAAGAGGTTGGGCCTCACCTTCTGGCTGATATTTGCATGAATAAACAATACATTGGATATCTGATAGGCAAAACATTTCAAACTGATAGTTTTTTTTTTTTTTGCTCAAAATGGATTGACATTCAGCTGAAAAGAGTACCAATTGAAGCTCAAAATACTTGCAGAGCGTTTGAGTTCCAAAGAGGCCCCTTCAGACTCAAGAATGTTTCAAATTCAGCATGTTTTCCACCTTATGTATGTTCACACCAGAAAGCATTGTTGCAAAACTGGGAAAGGGACCAAGAAGGATAACCAAAAGTAAGCAGAGGTTTACTGGGCACCACCTCTCTAGGGAAATCCTAAACCCTTTGGAGCTTTGCAATCTGGAAATAGCTATATAAAAATATTCCTTAGAGAATATGCTTTTGTATTTCTCCTATTATAGTAATGGAACTGAACGATTGTCCAAAAAAACCTGAGATCTAGAAGACACACAAAAGGAAACATTACTCACAGTGTTGTGGATCTCGCTGCCCCGAGACTGGTGGCATTGGCCCAGATGGCCTTTGAAAGGGGACTGAACAAATTCATGAAAGACACCTCTCTGTCTGTCAGCCACAGTGACAGCCTGGAGGCTTCCTTGTTTTGAAGCAGACTCTCATACATGATTTCTTTTCAAAACGTTTTTTCCTCCACAGGAAGGCCGTGAGCCTGATTACTCTGAATACAAGGAGTTTAAACTGACAGTGGAAAACATAGGTTACCAGATGCTGATGAAAATGGGCTGGAAGGAAGGTGATGGTCTGGGAACTGATGGTCAGGGTATCAAAGCTCCAGTTAACAAGTAAGTGTCTGGTCTCCCTTTTGTTATTTCTTTATTTGAAACAATTTCACTCTTTTTTTTCCTCTGCTCAGAAGCACACAAAGCAGCTAACAAGCTAGAAAACGAAGATTTTAAAAAAGGTGTTTAGACCATCAGTCTAGAAAAGAACAGTTAGAAAATCAACAGAATAAAGCCTAGTTTTTATGCAACTTCACAAGCATGTGCTTTTTGATATGGCATATGGGCTTGGCAACTGGATTGAAGCTCCAAGCCTCCTCCCCGTCCCCCCATCCCAGATCAGAGATGTGGGCTGAAAACTTCTGGGTCAAAATTTTCCACTTTGGGCAAGTTTGGTGGTTTCAGAGTGGAATGATGCTTGCTTTTCAGATATTTGGTTCCAGAAAGTTGAGAATCAGGGATGTTTCAGTGGTTGGTAGAGAGGAGAAGCTGCAGGGGGAAGAGCGAGACAAGCATCTCTTTTTCTTCCCTGCACCGCCCATGTGGCCAGACTGAGTGACATTGCCATGGGGAGGAATTTCTCCTTCTTTCTGTGAACAGACAGGAAGGAGCCAGAGGTGGTGTCACATGTGCGCTGTGCACTGTCTTGAGTCTGGCTGTCATTGGTCATCCCAGATGATCTGCTTGGAAGGGATGACCTGCTAGTCCTTTCTCATACCTGAGTCACTATTAGTGTCCTTTAAAAAAGCAGAGGAGACTGGGTCATGATTGCTGGGAGGACCTGGAAGTCACAGGTTTTGGCTTGGTAGCAAGGTATCCCAATGCAGAAAAAACCCTTTTTTAAAATTTATTTATTTTGTTGGATTTCTGTCCCACATTTCATAAAGTCGCTCAAGGTGGTGTACATAGTGCCCCTTTCTATTTTTCCCCACCACAACCCTGGGGGATAGTTGGGCTGAGAAACAGTGACTGGCCCACACTCACCCAGTGAGTTTCCATGCCGAGGGCAGAACTAGAACCTCGCCCTGGTGCCAGTCCAGCACCTTCACCACTCCACTATGCCACACCAGCTCTCATGCCTGGTTTGGAAGGTATGGTACCCCTACTTCAGCTCTAAGGGCAAGTCACCAAGTAATCACCATGGAGACAGGGCCAAAGACTGTGGTGCACTACTGGCCTCCCTGTTTTAGAAGATCTGGTCTCAGGCAGCTTCCTCATATCCATGTACAAAAAGTAAACACAGCTCTTTCCAAACCAGGGGGGTGACGGCCGTGGATGGAGCAGGATTTGGAATTGACCGTCCTGCTGATTTGACTAAGGATGATGATGAGTACGAGGCCTTTCGTAAGAGGATGATGTTGGCCTACAGATTCCGGCCCAACCCGCTGGTGAGCAGAAATGAGGCTTATGCAATTGATTTATATACCAAGTGGGTGTGGGATAAATTTGATCAGGCCTTTGTGAAAAGGGCAGGCATCAACTTTTAATTTCTTGATACCCTCTGAAAATGCCAGAACTACCTTTTTCACTGGGATTTCCTGATCTGAGTTGCCTTGTGTACCAAAAAGGTTATTGAAGGAACTATTTGAATAGGTCGCCTGCTTCACTGTAACTGATTGACCATATTCTACTTTTGTTTCAAAACACTTTGGAGCAGTTCCAAAAAGTGAGCAGTTTATCATAAGAAACATTTTACAATACATAAAATAAGGTGAAACAGTTAAAATGCTGTATCCTCTTACTCTGCACAAGGAATCCATGTAAGAGTGTTTAGGAAGGGGATCTAGCTAGTGGGATCTACACAGATCTGTTGCAGAGTAAATGGCTTCCCCTTATGGTGCCAGCCAGCTAGCCCAAGTTTTCTTTTTCTTTTTCCAGAGACTCCATTCTACTCTCACATAATCTGTTGCTAGGATAATGTTGTTTAAATATCATTTCAAAAGTCCTTGTAACATAAATCTTCTGAACAATGTGCAGCAACTTTCTCTCTTTATAGCTCAATCTTTATTTAATCTTGCATATTTAAGACCACATTAAGTCCATGTTAACTATGGGAACAGTAAAAATAGCAGCAGTTGAAGAAAGTATTATAGAACGTACAACAGTTATAAATTTAACACCGAAAATAGTAGGTTGTGCACCAACTGCTGCTCTTCATCCTTGGACTGAACCTTGACTCCTGCACGTTAATATGTTTCTTGTCCTACCACCTCTTCCCAGTGAGAATTCAAGCGCATGAGGCACATTGCACCATCCAACTTGGCACTTAAAAGGTGTCCCTTCTTTCCCGGGATGTCTGCCTTCAAGATGAGATTCCATACCATGTGCACTCAGTCTAGCATAGAGGAGTAGGACAGATGGACTGGGGTGCTCCTTGATCCTTTGGGATACCTTTCCCATCAGGAAAATGGTGATGGGAGAGACGCCAGCAGAATTTAAAACTGCAGGGACTCTCTCCTGGATTGCTTTTAAGTTAGATCGGCCATCAACTGGTGATTTGCAGCATCGTTGACTTTGCAGACAGCTGCACTTGTGAAGATACCATGCAGTTTTGCAGCTGACAAGGGCTGTTCGCCTGGGGGAAGTAAGTGGGCCATTCTACATCCTCTGGATGTAGAATGAACATCAGCCTGTTCTGGTTCTGCTTCTCACTTGAGTTCACAGAATGGCTGGATTCGCCCATTGCACTAGGGTATAGGTTATTTAATCATGATTCCTGAACACACCAGAACTGAAGCAATATACTAAGCCTTCAGGATTAAAATCTCATATGGCTGCATTCATCCATCCTGTTAAACCATGGACAAAACCCCACGTGATGTCAAACATTGTGATGATCACTTCAAGGGAAGGTGTTGGGTTGGAGCCTCAGATTCTGCTGGCCTTCTGTTACCATGATTAGCTGATTTTGTCCTTTTCTTTCTTCCTCACAGAACAATCCTCGGCGTCCCTATTATTGATTCAGCAGTGTGTTTCTTCTCACCTCCCACCTTCTCCCTAGTCCTCCAGTGATGGATTGTTTACTGTGATAAGTTTATTTAAAAAAATGCCCCTTTCTTTCGTTTAGAAGGACTCCGTTTCAGGTTTAGTCTTCCATCTGTCCACCCACCCACAGATGTTGGACTTTTTTTTGATGTGGTTGCAGAGCTCACTCCCTCTTTTATTATGGTTTTTTAATGTGGTCCTATCAAAGAAAGAGAAGGACCAAGATGGAACCGGTATCTCTCTTTGGAGAGATTGTCAGAAATCCCTCCCAAGTCATAACCCAACCATTTGTGCGAAGGGGGAATTGGCGTTAAAATATTTGTTAAATAATGAGTAATCCTCATTTTACTCCGTTCCATGTTTTTTGAAGCCCTGTTTCTCTCCTTGTGAGCATAGAAACCCTGGGTCGCTGTTCCCTGTTGATGGTGGGCCTGCAGGGAAGGGTTGCATGGGATGTAGCGGGCGAGCAGAAGCACAGGCGGAAATAAGGAAGGTAGATCTCCCCAAGCAATAGTAGAGGTGCTTCCCAGCTGCAATTCAACAGAGCAAGACTTGGGTTGCAGTGATGTGGGGAAGGGAATGGCTTTTAAATGGGGGGGGGGAGACAAACAATCCCAGAGTATTACAATCTCTCTGAGGGTTTAACTTTTAACCTGGTTCTGAGAGAATCTTGTGAAAACATGCAAAGCCAGTGTGTGTCTGCCAGCCTTCTGTTTTAAAGGACAATCAGCTCTCCTTTTTCTCACTCTTTAGTTATTTCAAAGAGCGAGAAGACTTGAATTGCTTCTCAGACCAAGTCAGAGGCCAAAACCAAACACCTCTTTAGCTGGATTCTCATTAGTAGATTCTAACAATCTTTCAGGTTTGACCCAAAGGAGAAAGGTTAGAGGAGGGGAAAACCAGAAATCTCTTTCTTATGCAAGAAATACATGCCCTGGCATCAAGGCATTGTTTTGGTTTGTATCCTTTCTTTTCCATGTCCTTCCAACACCAAAACAACTGTTGTTCCTTCAGATAGGCTCTGAGACGATGCTTATTTTCGGTTTTGTTAATCTTAATGATGTAGAGTTGATACATTGGGCTTTTGCCAAACATGTTAATAAAGCTAGAGAAATAATGCGACGAAGGTCGTTTTTCTTTTGAACGTCCTGACAATGACTTTGGTTTTTCAAAACTCCAGGAATGATCCAGGGGTGTGCATGGCCCTTGAGAGAGAAGGAATGGGGAGGTGGAGGGGGTCACTGGACACGTGTTTGGAAAAAATGGGCTTTCCTATCTGCCAAGGTTGGGAGGGGATGCACACAAGAAACCCTTCGTGCTGAGAGCCTGGGGATGGGACCGGTGCTGCCAAGTATGCCACAGTGCAAGATTGTTCTCATAGCGGTTAACTTGCCACTTGAAAAACAGATGGGTGGGGCAATAATTGCTTCTCCTTGGTTGCTGGGAGGAAACAGCTGGTCGGCAGAGATAGTACATGACCTTTAGGAAAGGATGTAAGAACATAAGCTGTGCCCTGCTGGATCAGACCTCTGACCCATCTAGTCCTGGAGTCTGCTTTCACAGTGGCCCACCAACTGCCCAAGGAAGCCCACTAGTCTCCCAGCAGATGCCTTCAGAGGCAGTCCCATGCCATCACGTTGGCACCCATTGACCCCAGGACTTCCAAGAATTGGTCCAATACTTTTTTGAAGCCAGCCAAGCTGCTAGCCAGCCCACATCTTGTGGGAGACTCCATGCTGCATGAACCTTCTGTCTGTCTTCTGGGTGTGCTCAGAATATAAACTCAGAAAGCAGCAGTATCTATCTGGCCAGGGTCAGACTTGGTATTTGGGTGGAAGACAACCTGGAGATTCCAGGACTGTAGGCTGGGCTGGGAAATTGAAAAAAAAAATCCAGGAGGCAACGATACATTGATACTGTGTTGTTTCCACAAAAACTACATGTAGTCGTCAAGAGTTGAGCTCGACCCAGGGAGTCTTTTTAGAATAGATTTTGAAGTGCTTTAAATACGTCAGTGCCTTGGAAACAATGGATGGGTAACTTGTGGCCATCTCGATGTTGGCTGTACTCCAGCTCCCATCATTCCAGTCAGCATGAAAAGTTGATAGAGGTCATAAGAGAGGTAGTACAATCTGGAGGAAACACAGTTGTGCTGCTTATGGAATTTTCCAAGATAGCATGAAAATAACAATTTTGATGGCAGATTGTTCAGCATGCTGGCAATCTGTAATCTTTTCTTCTCGTGTGCTCCTTAAAGCATGTTTGTCAGTATCCAAGGTACAAAAATCAACCTGCAAATACATGAGCAAAGTGGGGTGAAGGATCTAGAAGACTTTCTAGTGCATTTATACCCTACCTTCCTTCTAGAACCCCAAGTCATTCTATATACCACTCCATTTTTCCCCCATGACTACCCTGTGAATAGGCTGGGTTGAAAGAGAGAAACTGGTCCAAAGTCACTGAGTAAAAGTTCCTTGGCTGAGGAGGGAGCTGAACTTGGATCTCACCAGTCCTAGTCCAACACTTTCACCACGGCATCACCTTGACTTCTGTCATCTTTGGCATTTGCTGTTTATTTAATGATTAAAACAAAACAGGCTTAGCCACAGGTTAAGTCACTTGTTTTGCAAAAGGATGTCCTGACAAGGGGGGAGAAACGCATTTCTGGAGGAGGTCCATGGCAACACCTACCACCTGGTGGCAGCACCTGGTATGATCGATCTCTCTGATGCCCTGGACAAAAGTTGAGAGTCAACACAGACCAGGATTTCTCAACTTTGGCAATTTTAAGATGTGTGGACTTCAACTCCCAGGATTCCCCAGCCAGCATGGCTGGCTGGGGAATC